CAGGGAAGGATTTTATCCTAATCGAGAAAGCATTGTTTCCTAGGAAAAGAGGTGATGTGATTAGATTTGCATTCTGAAATACAACTTTGAGAGTAAAGAACAGATCTAGAGGGGCAAAAAAAACAGATACAAGGAACGCAGTAAAGATTACCACTGCAATAATCCAGCAATAGTCCAAAAGAATGGAACACATATGGGAATTTGTTTAGTAGACACTCCCCACTCAAATACACAACACCTTCCACCATATTATTCATATAGCAGTTCTCTAGAAATGTTTGTTGGATGAATTTACAATGAACTGGGGTAAAACCGCCTGTGACCTAGTAATATCCTGAAAGGACACTTGGTGTGTAGGTGTCCAATATTCCAATCCAGCATCTGATACCAGTTTAACTATCATTATAAGGTAGTGACACTCCAGGATTTTGGGGTCTGGTAGATTTTAAGATGTTCCAAAGTTAGGCTTTGGCCTAAGTATTCAGCTAAAATATGCTTCTTTGATTCTGTGTTGGCCTGCTTCGTTTCTGGTATCCCCGAACATGGCATGATGAGGGATTGTATGATCACTAGGTTATCCTTATATCTAACCAGTATAACAAGGTCATATATAAAAGAGCTATGTCATTTGGATTTATTGTTAGTATCTGGTATTCATTTTCCAAGTTAAGAGGTATTGTGTACGATTTGGAGTGAAAATCTTTTCTGCTTTATATGTTAAAATGTTATCAATTAGGTGAAATACACATGTATATTTATTATTGCAAGATACGAATATTGCAATTAATGCTTATGAACTCTGTTTTACGTACAAAAGAAATAAAGAATTTTTAAATAGTCAAATATAATTAAAAAAAAATAATAAAACCCACTGTTATCGGGTCGATTTCAACTCATAGCGACCCTACAGGACAGAACAGAACTCCCCCCAGAGTTTCCAAAGCTCTAATCTTTACAGGAGCAGACTGCCACATCTTTCTCTCGCGGAGCAGCCGGTGGGTCCAAACTGCCGAGCTTCTGATTAGCAGCCCAGTGTTTTAATCACTGCCACCAGGGTTCCTCACAAATACAATAGAGTAATAATATTAAGAGAGAGGAGTTAGCTATGACTTGGGAAGATTACTATATCCTTTTTGAGCTGACAAATGATTATAAAATTTAAATGAAAAATACCAAGCAGAATAGTGGAAATTATATGTCTAACTTTCTTCAATTGTTTGGCATACTAGTATTCATAAAATTCAACAAAATAACTTCTAAGGATCATGTTTAATTTTTATTTATTTCATTCTATGAATCTTCCAAGGAAAAATCCTATTTGGAAATTCTTCACATCTTTTATTGATGAATCAAAAATAGAATGTTAACTTTGTTACCTCAAAGTTTCACAAGAAAAAAAATTTCAGTTATACACAATACATCAACTATCTTTGCTCCAGATATAAAAAGAGAATATAAAAAAGAAAATGTTAGAGAAAAAAGTTCTCCTCAACTGTCTTGCTATTTCACTAACCTCAGCTGAAAGTGACCCTCTATAATGTGTACTACAGTGATCTACAATGTGCGCTGGAGTCCCTGGGTGGTGCAAATGGTTAACACACTTGGCTGCTAACCAAAAAGTTGGAGATTCAGTTCTACTCAGAAGTGCCTTGGAAGAAAGCCCTGGTGATTTACTTCTAAAAAATCAGCCATTGAAAACCCAATGGAGCCTAGTTCTACTCTGACACACATGGGTTCATCATGAGTCAGAAATTTAACTCCATGGCAACTGGTACTGGTTATAACGTGCATCACAATGATCACAGGAGACTATTAACATTTCTAATAAAAAATTGTAATAACTTGGAGAATAACACTTTAGATTTATTCACATATGCCAGAAGTTTACTCTATGATGGTGATACTGGCTTCAGGACCAGCTTTGGCCAAATATGGTTTTCGCACTTGGCTATTTGGCACTTGGGGAAAAAAATGTATATTTGGTGCAATATATGTGCAGCCTGAATATGTAGGTATTTCTTATTTGCTTCCATTTTTATTTCCTAACACAAAATATAATTTTAAACAGAATCTTATTTACTTCAAGGATGTAGAAATCAGCCCACAATCTCCTTTACAGGTCTAAAAGCAGAGATAATAAAGAACTCAACCCCACACACAAGCACCAGTGATCTAACATTTTATTGTCAACTGCCAATGATCAAGAAAATCCAAGCAAAAGAGGTTTCCATTCTTCTGACATCTATGCATTATCAATGAATTCCTTTAACAGGATGAAGTTTGCACACAAAGAAAAATCCTTGTTTTCTATAGTTAAAAATTTACAGATTTATGTTAGCTAGATTTAACTGATTTCATATTCTCTTCAAATATAATACAAAAATAATATTTTTGTAAACTCACTTTTTAATATTTAGAAAATATCTAGAAAAACCTTTTGTTATATAAGATGAATTCATAATGAACTAGGGTGAAACTGCCTGTAATCCAGTAATATCCATAAAGAACCCTTTGCAAGTGTCCCAATATCCCAATCTGGCATCTAATACCAGATTAGCTATCATTATGAGGCAATGGGGTACTGAAACTGAATGCCATAAGGACTGGTTGTGGTTCTCACTCAGCTACTTAGTCATCTTGAGCAAGTTTTTACCCTCTGAATCTGTTTCCTAAAATGTAAAATGAAGATATTAATACCTGCACTGTCTATATGGACCAAATGAAATAACATGTGAATTACTAACAGTGATATTTATAAAATATTGAGTATGATAAGAGTTTCAAATCTAGGTTTTTTATTTTTGTACCAACTTTACAAATTGATTGTGATTGATTTTTATGTGCTGTTATGTGATAATTTTAATAATAATTAATTTACAACTCTCTTTAAAAACCATTTGGGACCTGCTTTGGTCATTTATCTGCCACTCAAGAATGCAGGTATGATTTATGATAGTCTGAGTATTAAAACAGTTCATCTGAAATATTAGTGTTAAGCCATGAACTCTAAAAACTAAGCAAAGCAAAAGAAACCAAATATGAAATATTCTAAAACAGAGAACGCTTGGTCTTTGCCAGGACTAATATCATCTGCTGAAACTGCTCTTGCGGAGATCATCAAATGACTACTGTACATGGATTAGCATTCAAGTAACATCTCCCAGAACTCAACCACTCTGAAAAAGATACTGGACATTAAGAATGCCCTCAGAAAGTTCAACCATAAAACCAAAAGATAAGCTAGAACAGAGAACAGGAAATTGGGCACACAAGATTAAGTAACAAATCACTGTAACAAAGTTTAAGACATTAAGATGCAATGAAAAGAATCCTATCTATCATAAAGGGGGGAGGGCTGGTCAGCAAGGGAAGCACTGAAAAAGGAGAGGTGGAGAGACAAATATGGGCAGTGTTTACATGGGTGAGAAGATACCTTGTAGTACAGACAGATGTAAATACCCACTTGACAGGTACATTATGGAAAAATTTACCAATCTCTTAGTGATTGTTTCCTCATTTGTAAAAAGGAGGATTAGGGTTGTTGTGAAAATTAACTACATAAATTATTTCCCAAGGTCCCAGAGTGAAGCATTGTGAACTCAAGTAATCTGACTCCAGAGCCCACGCTTTTATCTGAGCTATACATACCCATCACAAGAGAACGTATATAACAGAATACAAATCTAGTCACTTATAATGAGGACTAGATGTTTATGTCAAGAATGTATTCTTGCCATGTAAAATGCTACATGAAAACCTAAATTATCAAAAGTTGTTTAATGAACAAGAGCATGGGATTAGAACAAGGGAGTTGGTTATAAATGACTAGAAATTTAAATGGCATCAAATTCTGTGTGATATTCCCATCTCCATTACACACCTGTCAAGCAGACACTCGAATCTATCTGCCTCACAGAATTCTCCTTTCTCCTTGACCTCACTATATAACAAGAGGTCACAAACTGAGATGCCTACAGTGGTCAGGCAAGTCATGAAAATGAATGAAGCAGACCTCGGGTAGTGAATTTGCCAAGGAAGTACGGATGATGGGAACTGTGGAAAGTGGAGAACACAAGTTAAGCCTAATGGCATTCGAATACAATATAACATTCTGTCAGGCAAACAAGAGTGCGGGCAAATTTTAGGCCTGAAGGCCACCAGTTTGCAAACTCTGCAGCACCTTTTCATTCGTGTTTTAAAATGCCCTAATTTAGGATATCCTACGTCCTATTTTCAGAGCCCTAGTGGTACAGTGGTTAAGTGTTCGGCTGCTAACCAAAAGGTCTGCAGTTCAAATCTACCATCCGCTCCTTGGAAACCCTATGGGGCAGTTCTACCCTGTTCTATAGGGTCACTAGGAGTCAGAATGATTTTTTCATGGCCTATTTTCAACCCTTACTTTCCTTTACCTGCTTTGTGATCACCACTTTCTTGAAACTTTCACCTCCTTGGCTTCCAGAAATCTTCTGTCCTCGTCTTTCATGGTCTATCACATAGATACCCAAGTGATCTAATTCATTTCAACTAACATCTCTGCTAAAAATTTCCAGAGCTTTATCTCCAGTTCTATTAACTCTAACAAATATCTCATGAATTTTGACTTTTTTCTGCTTCCTCATTGTCAGTGCCATTGATTAGGTTCTCTTCATCCAAATTGTAGAGTTTCACAGTAGCTTTAAGGAGCCCTGGTGGCACAATGGTTAAGTACTTGGCTGCTAACCAAAAGGTCTGTGGTTTGAACCCACCAGCCGCTCCACGGAAAAGATCTGGCGATCTGCTCCAAGATTTCAGCCTAGGAAACTCTATGCGGCAGTTCTACTTTTATATAGGGTCACTATGACTCAGAATCGACTCAACAGCACACAATAGTAGTTTTGCCTCATTCTTTTCTCTCATGCTCCACATACATCCATCAGTAAATCCTATTCGTTCTACCTCCAAATCATATCCAAAATCTAACCATTCTCACCCCCCACACCCCCACCCCCAACCATCATTACCTGTCACTTAGATTACTGCAGTCTAACTTCCTTTTTACCACCCCTTTATGCGTTGGAATCAACTCCAGTGGGTTACCACTCTTGCACAGGAGCCAGGACGGTCCCATCCGTCTTCTGTTCAAACCTTCCGGTGGTTCTCATGTCACTCAGAGTAAAATCCAATGTCCTTACAATGGGTTACAAGGCCCCGCACAACCACCCGATGCCTCTCTAATTTCATCTCTTACTACTCTCCCCCTTGCTCCCTCCTTTCTCTAGCCACACTGCTTCCTTGACTTTCCTTAGTTACACCAGATTCATTCCTGGCTCCAGGTTCTTCCCACCTCCTGTTTCCTTTATCTAGAATGCTCTTCCCTCAGATATCCTAGGTCTGGATTGCTCTCTTCAGGGCTCTACTCAAATGTTAGTTTTTTAGGAAGTGTTTCCCTAAGTACTCTATGTAAAATAGAAATACTCTCCCCATGCCCACAGGACCCCCACCTCTCTTTCTGCTTTATCACCATCTAACACAGTTTTCATGTTTGTTTATGTCTCTCTCTCCCCTCAAAAATGTAAACTTCATTAGGGCAAGGACTTTTTTCATTACTGCTGTTCTCCCTGTGCCTAGAACAATGCTTATTAAATATCAGGTACTTAATATTTAATGAAAATAACTGAAAAGCCCCCTGACTTGTCTTCCTTTTACTGATCTCCCCTTCTGTAGTCCACTTCCTCCTAGACCCCAGGTAATATACTAAAAAATACATCTGGTCATTCTCCTGCTTATAAAACTTTGATGGGCTTCCCAATCCTTCAGGGTCTGGCCCCAAATTCATTTAAGACTTTTCCCCAAAACATGTTAAATATGCTCCACGTATAAACACTTTTATCATTTCTGAACCAACTAGTAGGTGCCATTTCATTTCTCCATGCTTTTCATGTATTTCCTCTGCTTGGCCACTTTTATTCATCCTCCAGACCTAACTAGTCTTTGATGACTCCCTGAAGCCACCACTATGCCACATCTGCATTCAGTTCCTACCGCCATGATAGCACTTGTGCTATGACTATGTATTTAGCAATCTGTTTCTCCTACTAGATTGTAAAATCCTGGAGAGCAAGTTCAGTGATGTTCTATTCAGGTGTGTTTCCCTAGTACTTAACATTATACTTGACACAGAGAGAAAAAATATAAAGTCTGTTGAATGAAAATTTAAGGAATGAGATAATATGCTTATGAGGGGCTGGGAAAAGAAAATGTCTTCCAAAGAGTCAAAGTGCTTTCCACATCAAATTTGAACATGATGTGTAACTTGAGTTTTTACATTTGCTAGAGACAAAAACTCACTTTGATAGTTTTAACAACAGTTAAATTAGTGTATTCAGGAATCAAAGATAAATAAATGGCCTAGTGAGGGAAAGTATTTACTCCACTAAACATACTAATTTACAAGCCAGATATTGTGTAAAGCATAAAGTGTACTCTGAACATCTGCAATTTTTAAATTAAAATTATTGATCTTTTAAAGTAGGAAGGGAGAGTGGAGAAAATCTAGTTCAACTACATTATTTCACAAAATGTTCAAGTTAGAGAAAAGACCAGGATCAGAAGCCAAGTCTTATTCAGAATACCACAATACATTCCAAAAATACAACATTAAATTCCAAACTACTCAAGAACTAAAGGCTACAACTTATTCCATTACTTCCCTATGCAAACTTAATGAAGAAGGAAAATAATATTCCAAGTAGGAGTTTGTATAACCAGTTGCCATGGAGTTGATTCCAACTCACGGAAATCCCTTATGTGTCACAGTAGAAACGAGCTTCACAGGGTTTTCAGTGGTTGATTTTTTGGAAGGAGATCACCAGGCCTTTCTTCTGAGACACCTCTGGGTGGATTTGAGCCTCCAACATTTTGGTTAGCAAAAGAGAGTTAACCATTTGCACCACTCAGGGATTCCAACAGTTTACATACCTGGGTTCTTATCTAGGCTCTATCTTTGGGATCTCAAACAAATCACTGAGCCTTATAATACTATCTTGATTATCTGCCTCATGGGATTTACGTGAGAATCAAATAAAAGCTCTGTCACAATGGAAAACATAATCATCTTCTCTATCTTCATTCCTTCAGATGGGGGGCTGGGTGTAAACCAGTACAATTCTGACTACTTGGAATTTTGGTGTCTTATTTTACAGTGGGAAGGAAAGAAGGAGAGAAAGGAAAGGAGGTAGAGAAAGGAAAGGAGGTGGGAAAGTTGTTTCTAATGGGAAAACAATAACTACTCCCAAAGGAAAGTATTATTCATACTACCTATCAGTTAAATACTCAGAGAGACAGCTCTTATATTGTTCATGGGAAAATGATCCCCCACCCCCCACTCCCCAGTGCAGGCCCTGTAAAACTTTTTACCTTTAGTATATTTCAGAAAATTCTATAATAGATACTTGGGTATATATTCATCTTTCCTACTGTACTGTAAATGTGTCCAAAGCAGGGGCTCATAGTATTTAGCCTTCAAGAGTTGTTTGTGAATTGTTTTAACTGGGTCAACATCCAGCGGAAATATAAAGCTAGGTGGCTGGAGTTGTGCCTCAGAGATTGGGAAGAGAAAGAAAACAGACAACGGTTATACCTCTCCTTGACTTTCCCCTAACTCCTTCCACTCCATCTCATTTATTTCTAAACCCAGTTAGAAACTAGGCTCCAGGCCTATGCAGAAGTCCTCTGCTAACATTCTACATATCCAGTGTATTTCTAGCCATTTCTATATTAATAGCATTTTATAACAATACTGTGTTTTAGCTCCAGGCATGAAAATATTTTAAGTGAAGTATAGCCAATGGGTTTTTTTTTTTTTAAGCTAATTCATTGGGCAAACAAATCTAGTGCAAAATGTTCACCATACATGTACAAGAAAACATTTTTTAAAAAGGAGAAAAAAGTACGCATTCTGTGAATTTCCATTTATATTTAAAATTGCATTCTCATGTAAACTATAATAGTAATACTTTACATAAAATTAAAGGTCATAAATACAAATCATAGATTTCACTTTTTTCCTACACTCACAAGGTACCTTAATTTTCAAAATTCTCAGAAAAAGAATATCCTTGAGACAATCCCTAGCTCTAAGTACCAGAATTCATATACTCCTCTCTACCTAATTCACAGAAACTTTTATTACAGTACAAAATAATATGCAAGCAAAGAATATTTGAGGATTCCACAGATTACTCCATTTTTCCCCAAATTTTTAAAAGAATTGTTCAGAGAGCCTGTTAAAACACACAAACTACCAGAACCCTCCCTTAGAAATTCTGATTCAGTTCCTCCGGGCCAGACAAAATCTTTATTCCTCAAAGTGATTCCGATGATTAGCTAAGACTGGGAATGGGAAACACTGATCTAGCATAGTGGTTCTCAATTTGGCACATATTGGAATTACCTGGGAAGCTTTTAAAAATCTTAAAGCCCAAGCTTCAGCCTAGATCAATGGAAATGCCTTTTTTTTTTAAAAAAAAAAAAAAAAAAACCTCCCCAGAGAAGGCTGGGAACTCTTGTAGAACCTGAAAAATTCTTGTAAAACCCTATTATCAATTAAGAAACTAGGACTGCTCAAGTTAAAAAAACCAAGTGGTAGCAAAATTGGAGCTAGAACCATTTCTCCTAACTCCTAGTTCACTTTATTTTTCAATATAGCTTCTTCTTCACGTGGGTTGACAATAAAGGGTGAAAACGATAAACCATCTTTCTGCCTCACAATAATATTGCCACTTAACAATTGGATAAATTAAAACTGAGCTAACCTTTTTGTTTCCGAAGTGGAAAATATTTCCTTAGCCCTAATATAAAACAAAATAGACTAAATATCACTACTACTTTATCTAAAGTTGCGGCTACTAAGCTATTAATCTATTTTATAAACAATTCTTTTAAAAAATAAGTTTTCTTTTTAACCTCCAAATCAGCAGATTTAAAATTTCTAATTCTTTTAAAGGCTGGCATCTCTTACTAGTAAAATTTTGATACCTAAAATTGGTGACACGCTTTCTTCTTCATATAGAATACTGCTGTTCTGTGAACTAACAGGTGAGAACAGATTCTCTTCTTCCATACAAAAGAATGCATTTTAGGCTGCATTGCCAAAACTCGTATTTGGTTTGTCCACAGATATTCCATTGGGAAATTTCTTGAGGTATTTGTTCACCTATTCCAAGAATATTCCTATTTTAATAACAACCTGATCATGAAAAATGTGTCAAGTACAATCTTATGTATCCATAATTCTTTAAGAGTGGATTTTACTTTCTAACAATTATGACTAGCCTTTTGGGGATCTACTTTTATTATTTCAGTACTGAAGTTGTTGAAATATCATTTTTATCCCTTTCAAGGTTGCCACATATTTAAATATTTCAAACTTCAGTGATGTTTGGATTTCTGCTTCTGGGTTTAAAAAAAAAAAAGTGTTTAGAATGCCTTATCAAAAACAGATCACATTACAGGCAGTCCTCAGGTTACAAACGTCTGAATTACTTACAACTGGTAGCTACCAATCAACCCCATAAAGCCTATTACATTAAAAATTCCAGGTACATTCAACAGTTCTAACAAACGGGTGCTTCTTCGTGACGTGCAACAAAATATTATTATTATATTACTGTATTATTATGTTAAAGATGTTTCAGCGTATCTGGAAGTGTTTAATGTTTTTTATGCAGAGAAACGTACACTATGTACTATATACTAAGACAAACATTTGACTACCTGACCTTAGACATGAACTGTACCTAACTGTTCCGATTTACGTACAAATTCAATTGAAAGACAGATTTAGGAATGGAACTCCTTAGTAATCCAGGGACAGCCTGTACTCCAGAATTAAAACTTCAGCAATCTGCACACAGTCTAGAGTACAATGTATGCTTTTGATTACTTCATAAACAAGCAATTTTAAGGTTCTAGATTCTGAAATTAATATTCTAAGCGAGCATAAGTTACAATGAATTTTGTTCCAGTAATTTTAATGAACGGAAAAAAAAAAGCGAACTGGTTTTCGTCTAGTTGATTGCAACTCATGGCAACCCCACGTGTGCAGAGTAGAACTGCTCCATAGGGTTTTCAAGGCTGTGACCTTTTAGAAGCAGTTAGCCTGGCCTGTCTTCCAAGATGCCTCTGGGTGGGTTCAAACCGAAAACTCTTTGGGCCACCCACAACTCCTTTAATAAATGAAAGCCCTCCCATTTTAATGATTAAACTAGATATGAATGTAAAGTAGACAACTAACAAAACTTAGCGTGCTATTCACACTAATTAAAATATGGCTTAAATGGAATTGAGTGTGCCTCTTAAGACACACCACAAAATAAAATAAAAATCTGTTAAATGTTCAAGTGATATACAGTATTTTGAAAATCTGGCTACATTAACTAATCCATGGTTTTTACTGTAGAAAAATTATGCTACACAAACGTTTGCAATGCATAAGTATTTTCTGTTTACATTTTTAACTTGAAACTTGCAATTTCAAATTCCAAGGGATAAGACTGTATAATACATGGCCTTTTGGGGTTGCTTAAATTGTCCCTAAAAACCAAACATGTTTATTTTTAGTAGTGTACTAGGGCAGCAGTCAAACATTAAAACACTAGTAACTAAAATTTTTGGCTGAACATATTTGAAAGTGAACCCGGCCCCTCCGCTAGGCGATCTTTCCCTTTAAGCCCAGGGCTGGCCCGCAGCCCGCAGCCAGGACGCGGAGAGCCGTCCCGGCGCAGACGCAGCCGGCCCGGGGGCGGGGGGCTCGCACGTGCCCGGCCGGGGGCGGGGCCGACGGGAAACGACCCCGCTCGGGAAGGCGGGCAGCGCCAGGCCGCCCTCCCCCGCGGCCGCAATCCGGAGGTTTACATAAGGGTGCACGTCATGGAAGTGATGAAGCCACACAGAGACGTCTAAGTCATGCAGGAGGCGCCCGGTCCCGGCCCGCTCCCGCCGCCCCCGACCCCTCCTCTCATCCGACAGAAAGACAAGAAGGGTTCCCGACCTGTCGTGCCCTGCATGTTCAGAGTCTGTCATGTTTGGTCAAGAACGGGGCGGGGCTGAAGGGCAGGTCTGCGAGGCCGGCGGCGGCGGGGCGCGGGGAGGACCCCTGCACCGCCTGCGGGCACCTGCTGCCGGCCGCCGCCGAGAGGTGACGAAGTGGTAAAAACTCACGGTTACTAGTGAGCGACACAGACACAGACTTTCCAGTCTATTAACAACCACGCCAGAGAGATGGGGCTCTAACTGCAAACACTGGGCAACGGCCCCGCGCTGCCGGCGCTGCCGCTTTAGTCTCTATTCGCCGCCGGTGGCTGAGGCTTGGGAGCAAGCGGGCGGGCGGCGTGCAGCGACGCGGGGATTTGGACAGTGGCCGTAACGGTGATTTCTCCTCACCAACATGGCGGCACCCGAGACAGGCGACTCAGTAAAATGGCGCCTGCCGCAACACTTTGCCCGGGACTAAAGGGCAGAAGAGATTCCTCCGCGTGCCGCGGCCCTTGCTCAGCCCGCCAGGGCCGAGCGCGTTGAACATTGGAGGAGACTGTCCGTCAATCACCTCAAGGGGCGGGCCCCCTGCTTCTCCGTGAAGCGGCGGCGGTGGCGTGCCGAAGGCGGATAGGGGGGGTCGAGAGACGCGACCGGATGGCGCTTGGAATGTGTTTGAACGGGGGAAGGCGGCTCAGGAGAGTGTACGCGGCTCGTCCGCACCCCCGTGCTCAGGGGTTTTCTCTGCGAGAGGCCGGCGACCTACAGAAACAAAAGCCAC